AAAAAAGTATTTTGATTTTTTTTTTTTTTCTTTTCAGCTGTCCTGGAACTCACTATGTAGACCAGGCTGGCCTTGAACTCAAGAGTTTCGCCTGCCTCTGCCTCCTGAGTGCTGGGATTAAAGGCGTGGGCCACACATCTGGGTTGATTATTATTTTTTATGTGTAATAGTGTATTGCCTTCATGCATGTAAGTGCACCCCTGTCATGCAATGACCAAGGAGGTCAGAAGAGGATGTCAGATCCCCTGGAACTGGAGTTACAGATGGTTATTACCTGCCATATGGGTGCTGGGATTTGAACCCAAGTCCTCTGCAAGAGCAGCTGGTGCTCTTAACCGCTGAGACATCTCTCCAGCCGTTAAGACAAAAATTCTTAAGTATAGGCATGGCGGTACATCCTTGTAAGACCAGTACTCAGGATGCAAAGGCAAGAGGATGGAGAGTTTGAGGCCAGCCTGGGCTTCAAAGTAAGACCCATCTCAAGAACAAGAAGAAAAAAGAGAAAACATAAATCAGACATAGTGGCACATGCCTTTAGTCCCAGCGCTGGGGAGGCAGAAGCAGGTAGAGCTCTGAGTTCAAGGCTAGCCTGGTCTACATAGTGGGTTCCAAGCCAGCTGGGGCTACAGGGAGACCCTATCTCAAAAAAATCAAAATCAAAATAAAGTTAGCCAGGCGTGGTGGCGCATGCTTTTAATCCCAGCACTGGGGAGGCAGAGGCAGGCAGGCTCTGTGAGTTCAAGGCCAGCCTGGTCTACATAGTGAGCTCCAGGCTAGGAGCTACAGGGAGACCCTGTCTCAAATTAAAATAAAATAAAAAAATAATAAAATAAAATATTTTTAAAAATCTACCACAGAGGTAGCTAAAATGCATTTTAAAATGTATGTTAAATTATATATGTTATGGGCTGGAGAGATGGCTCAGCGGTTAAGAGCACTGACTGCTCTTCCAGAGGACCTGGGTTCGATTCCCAGCACCCACATGGTAGCTATGAACCATCCTTAACTCCAGTTCAGGGGCATCTGAAGCCCTCTTCTGACCTCCGAGGCACTGTACAACACAAGTGCACTCACATACATGCACATAAAATAAAAATAATAAAAATAAGCCGACTCCTATGAAGCAAACTCTCCATGAAGACCTGGCTCAGGCCAACAAGGTGGCTCAGCAGCTAAAGGTACTTGCCTCCAAACCTGACAACCTGAGTTCACTCCCCAGGACCCACATGATGGAAGGAAAGAGCCAAGTTCTGTAAGTTGACCTCTGACCTCCACATGCACAGTGTGGCATATACACCCACATAAAATAAATAAATAAATAAATAAATGTAAAAATAAAAATTATATATGTTATGCAAATTATAGTGGTAAGTGTATTATGTACAAAGGTAGAAACAGTGTAAATGAAAGAGCTGAAAGTACCTGTCTCTGGAAAAGGAGAGGAGGGAGTGAAGATCACTTGGTTACTTTGTCTTTCAGTGAGGAGCTAAGTGCCTATATCACTTTCAAAATAATTTTGAAAACAAATAAAAAACAAGTTAAAAATGCTCTTGATACACTACAGGCTGCACAGGGGGAGGGCTCCAAAGAGCCAAGCTGAAGAACTGGTCTCACTGCAGACCCTGTGATATCTACATCTTTCCAACACCAAAGGGTAACATGTCTACCTTTTTTTAACACCTAGGTTTTTTTATTTTTTTGTTTTGTCTTTCTGAGACAGGGTCTCTCTGTAGCCCTAGCTGGCCTAGAACTCACTATGTAGACCAGGCTGGCCTTGAACTCACAGAGATCCGCCTGCGTCTGCCTCCCAAGAGCTGGAATTAAAGGTATGCACCACCACGCCCGGCAACACGTCTACCTATTACAAATCCTGGACTCCACAAAAGCTTGACGCAGCTACAGGCTGCAGGTGCACTCACCACAGGCAAAGTACAGAAGCAATTACTAGGAACAGGACAGAGATCTAGGAGGGAGATACAAAAGCAGAATGTGACAAAGTCCTGTCAAAGTTGTGCCCACAGCTTTGTGTGGGATGAGAAGAATGTCCCAGACTTCAGGGGCCATACTTACTCCTGACAACTCCTCTAGTCTTCCTTCACACCAAAGACCTCCCAGCTTTATGCAGCAAAGCCTAGACTCCTATCTGGCAACTCCAGAAAACAAAGCTCAATCTGGCACAGCAAAAAACAGGGCGGTACACAAACATGGACTAAGGAAGCCTATGAAATTCTGTAGTTAGGTTTTCACTGTTTTTAAGATTTTATCTTATTTTCAATTATGTGTATATGTGAATCTGTCTATGAGTATGAATATATGTGTGCAACTACCTGTGAAGGTCAGAGGAAAGCATACAATCCCTTGGAGCTGGGGTTATAGGTGGTTGTGAGCCACCCAATGTGGGTGCTGGGAACCGAACTCAGAATCTGTGTAAGAGCAGTCTGTGCTCTTAACTACTGAGCCATCTCTTCAGCCCCCAGAATTAGGTTTTTATTGTTTTCTTTTTTATTGTTTTTTTGAGATAGGATCTCACCATACTGGCCAAGCCAGCCTCCAACTCTTACACTCTGATGATAACCCCCCAACCCCCGTCTCAGCCTCCTGAGAAATCAGGACTATAATAGTCATGTGCTACTCTGTCTGACTTAGGAGTTGGGTTTATTAAATAAGCCATTCTCCCGGGATCCACAATATTACCCAATCCTTAGGTGCTCAAAAATTGTGTTAACCAAGAAGCAATAAACTTGGTTCTCTTCTTTAAAGGCCAAGGACTGAAGTCTACAGCCATGTTCATAAGATAATGATCAGACTCCACCCTGAGTATCAGTGATGTAAGGAAGAGGGACCTAAAGAAGAAAGGATAGAACCATCTCAAGTAAGGGAGCTGGGTGGGCTCTATTCAAGATTTTCCTCCCACACCTGAGTCCTGCAGGAAGCCTGGAAACATCTTCTCCAGAATGAGTCCATCGTTTACCAGTACGTTTTTAAAAATACATCTAGGCCAGGCATGGTGGCACATGCCTTTAATCTCAGCACTTGGGAGGCAGAGGCAGGTGGATCTCTGTGAGTTCAAGGCCAGCCTGGTCTCCATTAGTGAATCCAGGCCAGCTGTGGCTACAGGGAGACCTTGTCTCAAAAAGACCAAAAAAAGGGCTGAAGAGATGACTCAGCAGTTAACACTGACTGTTCTTGCAGAAGACCCGGGGTTCATATCCCAGTACCCACATGGCAGCTAAGAACTGTCTGTAACTCCAGTCCCAAGGGATCTGACAGCCTGTTGTCCTCCTTGGGCATTGCATGACATGGGTGCATTTACCCACATGCAGGCAATACAGGCATACACATAAAATAAAAATAATAAATAAAAATTTTAAAAAAAAACATCGACAAGTGTGGTGGCGCACGCCTTTAATCCCAGCACTCGAGAGGCAGAGGCAGGAGGATCTCTGTGAGTTCAAGGCCAGCCTGGTCTACATAGTGAGTTCCAGGACAGCTGGGGCTATAGGGAGATCCTGCTTCAAAAAGACAAAAAAAAAAAAATCTAAGTGACATCTATTTCTCAGATTCAGTATGTTTAAATAAAGTCTACATTCTTAGTAGTGTGTATAATCATACAAAGGTTACACTTAGCTTACAACTGTTATCTCATCACTTGGGAGAGTGAGGCAGAAAGACTGTTGGGAGTTCAAGGCCAGCTTGAGTTACTGTGTAAGACGGTAAACCAAATATAACCTTGAATTTCTGATCCTCCTGCCTTCATCTTCTGAGTGCTGGCTTACAGGTGTACATACAATACCATGCTTGGTTTATGAAGTGCTGGGGATTAAACCCATGGCTTTGTGCATGTATTCTACTAAGCTACATTCAGAGCATTAAAAATTCTTTGTTTCTTTGTGTTCATTTTTCGGGGTTTTTTGAGACAGGGTCTCCCTGTACCCCTAGCAGGCCTGGAACTTGCTACATAGACCAGGCTGGCCCAGATCTCAGAGAGATCAACCTCCTGAATGCTGGGATTAAAGGCACATACCAAGGCATCTGGCACTAATAACTATAAAAATTACATTTTCACTATTTAAAAGTATATAATCAAATAACTCTAGCAAGTCCAGAGACTCTGCTGGCCTCTCTGTTTTTTTTTTTTTTTTTTTTTTTTTTCAGCGACCAGGCTGGCCTAGATCTTACAGAGATTCACCTGCCTCTGCCTCCCAAGTGATAAGATTAAAGGTGTATACCATCACACTAGGCTGGCCTTTCTGTTTCTAAGGCTGACTCACTTTTCCTCCAAACTTCATACACTTTTTTTGTTTTTTTGACACAGGGGTTTCCCTGTATCTGGAGCTGGCCTCGAACTCAGATCCTCCTATCTTGGCTTCCCAAGTGCTGGGATTACAGGCAGGTGCCACCATACCCGGCTGGATATGAATTTTTATCCAATTCCTATCTCCAATTATTCCTTGGTAATTTTCCCTTATCTCTTTCCACCAATGAAAAGAGAGAAGCATTCTAGGGGCTGAAGAGATGGCTCAGCTGTTGAGAGTACTGGCTGTTCGTACAGAGGACCTGGGTTCGATTCCCAGTACCCACATGGCGGCTATGAACTGTCCTTGACTCCAGTTCCAGGGGAGTCCGACGCCCTCTTCTGACCTCTGTGGCATTGCACAATACAGGTGCACTCACATATATGCAGACAATGTACTCATATACATAAAAATAATAAATAAATAAATATATATATATATATATATATACACAGAAAAGAGAGAAGCATTCTAATGGCCACACTCATCTGTAGAAACAGTACCTGGAATCATCGGGCTCCACAGAAGATGACAATAGGAAGACACAGGGTGGCATGGCTAGGGAGCTGCAGCTAGGGCCTAGACCGTCAGCAGAATCACAGTTATTCTCTTCCCCCAGGGGGCTGTTAACAAAGCAACCCCTGAACATGGTTGGATGAGTAAAGAATGCCTAGCACCAGATGCCATACCTCTTTAATAAGAGTCTTCTTAAAACAGTCAATGGTCCCAGTGTACAGAGGAACTTGCCCAGGCCCACTTGGTGGCTGTGTCTGCAGTCGGACCTGAAATCAGAAATTGAAATAATCACCTTCCAGAATCACCAGCAATGGTTCAACTCTCCTCCTCCTCTCCTTTCTCTTCCTCCTTTTTTTGCACTACTAGAAATTAAATGCAGGCAAATCTCTCACTGAGCTATATCCTCAGCCCTTCAACTAGGAAATTCATACCTATGTAGATGTCTTCTGCATTCCCTTAATCTGACAAATTCAAACTTTACTTTTATTTCATTAGTACTTCATTCTTGTTTTGGGTTTTTTTGTTTTTGTTTTTGTTTTTTGTCTTTTTGAGACAGGGTCTTCCTGTAGCCCCAGCTGGTCTGGAACTCACTATGTAACTATATAGACCAGGCTGGCCTTGAATTCACAGAGATCCACCTGCCTTTGCCTCCCAAGTGCGAGGACTAAAGGCTTGTGCTACCACGCCCTGGCCCTTCATTCTTGTTTAAATCTTTTATCTTATATTTATTCTGTAACAATTCATACATGTATACAATGTATCTTGATCGTATCCATCTCCAACTCTCCCACACATACCCCAGAACAATTTCATTCTTTTACTGGCAAGTTTCATCTTATTGGCTACCAAATTGTAGAGATTCAGAAGGATCAGTTCAAGGTCATCCTTAGCTACATAATGAGTTCAAGGCCAGTCTGGGCTATAAAAGTCTGTCTCAGCCAGGTGTGGTGGCGCATGCCTTTAATGCCAGCACTCAGGAGGCAGAGGCAGGCAGATCTCTGTAAATTCAAGGCCAGCCTGGTCTACACAGTGAGTTCCAGGACAGCTGGGGCTACAGGGAGACCCTGGTTCAAAAAAACCAAAAAAAAAAAAAAAGACTGTCTCAAAACCAAATGAACAAATAAATGTAAGCCAGACCACCCACCCAAAGTGCTCCCCAAACCTGACTCAGAGAACATGAGGATTAATGAATGATTGCTTCAGCCCACTAAGTTTTGGGATAAAATGTTACACTGTAAAGCTGGCGGAGCACTTGGAGGCGGAGGTAGGTGGATCTATGTGAGTTCAAGGCCAGCCTGGTCTACATAGTTAGGTAGTGAGTTACAGGCCAGCTGGGGCTACAGGGAGATCCTGTCTCAAAAAAGACCAAAAATAAATAAATAAACCGGGAGTGGTGGTGGCATGCCTTTAATCCCAGCACTAGAGAGGCAGAGGCAGGCAGATCTCTGTGAGTTCCAGGCCAGCTTGGTTTACATAGTGAGTTCTAGGTCAGCTGGGACTACAGGGAGACCCTGTCTCAAAAAGACCAGAAAACAAAACATAACAACAATAAATAAATAAATAAATAAATAAATAAATAAATAAATAAATAAGGTATTGGGTCTAATCCTTAGCAACACATACACACGCACACACCCTGTCTCAAAAAGACCAAATAAATAAATAAGGTACTGGGTCTAATCCTTAGCAACACACACACACACACACACACACACACACACACACGAGTTTTTAAAAATATTTTATGCATATGAGTGTATTGCCTGCATGTATGTGAGTGCACCTGTGTCATGCAGTGCCTCTGAGGTCAGAAGAGGGCTTCGGATTCCCCTGGACCTGGAGTTAAGGATGGTTCATAGCCGCCATGTGGGTGCTGGGAATTGAACCCAGGTCCTCTGCAAGAGCAGTCAGTGCTCTTAACCACTGAGCCATCTCTCCAGCCCCACAAAGGAGTTTTAAATTTTCTATTTAGGTGGATTTTTTGACACAGAGTCCCTCTATGTAGCCCAAGCTTACCTCAATTCATATATCCTAGCATAGCCTCAAATTCATGGTAATCCTCTCCCTCAACCTTAAAGAGTGCTAGATTACAACTGTGAACCACCACATCAAGTCCACACAACATTTTGATTGATACTTCTTTTATGATTTTTTGCTGTTGTTTTGAGACAGGGTTTCATATAGCCCAGGCTGATTCAAACTCAATATGTAGCCAAGGAACTTGAACTCCCAACCCTCCTGCCTCCACCTCCTAAGTGCTGGGATTATTTTTTGTGATTTTTCTTTTTTGGAGATAGAAACAGGGTCTTATATATCCCAAGTTGGCCTCAAACTCACTACATAGGAGAGGATAACTTTGAATTTATGATTCCCAATTCTACTTTCCAAGTGCTGGTATTAGAGGTATATACCATCAGGCCTGGCTTTTATATGGTGCTGAGTATTGGACCCAGGATTTCATGCATGCTAGGCAAGCACTCTACCAACTGAACCCATCCTCAGCTCTTTGGTGATTTTTTTTAAAATTTTACTTCATTTATTTTTTTAAATTTTTAACAAAATATTTTATTTTTATTTTATGTGTGTGTATTGCTTGCATGTAGATAAGTGCACCCGTGTCGTACAATGCCCGAGGAGGACAGAAGAGGCTGTTGGATCCCCTGGAACTGGAGTTACAGTTATGGACAGTTGTTAGCTGCCATGTAGGTGCTGGGATTCAAACCCAGGTCTTCTGTAAGAACAATCAGTGTTCTTAACTGCTAAGCCATCTCTCCAGCCCCCTACTTATTTTTATTTTGTGTATGAGTATTATGTTTGCATCGATATAAGTGCACCCATGGTGTGCAGTGACTATGGAGGCCAGAAGAGGCTGTGGGATCCCCTGGAACTGGACTTATAGATGGTTGTTAACCACCATGTGGGTGCTGGGATTTGAAACCAGGTCATTTGTAAGAGTAGCCAGTGCCCTTAAGCACTGAGCCATCTCTCCAGCCCCCTTGTGATATGTTTTTAATGTCTCTTCTATATGTCTCATCATATCATCTTACTTTACATTCTGGCCCCAACACACCTCCAAGCCCACACTTGCCTTGCCTTCACTCTCACCCAAAAATACATGTTGGAGCTTAACCCCTAACTGCAGTAACAGTATTGGAAGATGAAACCTTATGGAAGGTGTTTGTTCAGGAATGGACTAATACCAGCCACAGAAAGACTTGAGTTTGATCTCCTGCTCTCTTATATTCTCTTGCTCTTCCATATTGCATCATGGGATGATATAACACAAACAGCCCTGACCAGATACAAGCCCATGGATCTCAGCATTCCCAGTCTCTAGAACTATAAGAAATAAATCTTTGTCTAAGACTGAGATACCTCCCCACCACAGATTATACAGCTCTTCCTATTCTTCCAGTCAGAAAACAGCCAGACTTTTTTTTTTTTTTTTTTTTTTTTTTTTTTTTTTTTTTGGTATTTTTGAGACCGGGTCTGCCTGTAGCCCCAGCTGGCCTGGAACTCACAGAGATTCGCCTGCCTCTGCCTCCCAAGTGCTGGGATTAAAGGCACATGCCACCACAGCCGCCCAAACAGCCAATTTTTTAATGCCTGCCCCAATACTATGTCCATACCAAGACCAAATTCTGAGGTATGGCAATTCTTGGTTTAACAGGACATGTAGGTTGTAGCTCAGTTGCTTTGAACCTCTGAAAGTACATTCAAGTACTTGGGAGGTAGAAGCAGCAGGATCAGAAGTTCAAGGTCATCTTCTGCTATATACTGAGTTTGAGGCCAGCCTGGGACACACTGAGATCCTGACTCAAAAATAAATGAATAGCCGGGCATGGTGGCACACGCCTGTAGTCCCAGCACTTGGGAGGCAGAGACAGGCAGACCTCTATGAGTTCAAGGCCAGCCTGGTTTACATAGTGAGTTCTAGGACAGCTGGGACTACAGGGAGACCCTGCTTCAAAAAGACAAAAAATTGGAGGACTGAACACACTTATTCACAAAGCCTCTTTAGCTTTGTGAAACACCTAAAATGGCCACTGAGGAGAAAGAAAGAAAGAAAGAAAGAGAGAAAGAGAGAAAGAGAGAAAGAGAGAAAGAGAGAAAGAGAGAGAGAGAGAGAGAAAGAAAGAAAGAAAGAAAGAAAGAAAGAAAGAAAGAAAGAAAGAAAGTCATAAAACGGCCAGACTTTAGTTGGTGCCCACCTAACTAAGGTCAAAAGGACATCATCAGTCAGCACTCCGTGGTTTTGGTTTGCACTAAAAGACTTTTTTCTAGTTGTCAACATGCCAGTGAACATTTCCAGTCATTTATAATTCAGTACAAAGGTCACTGGGCCCTTGCTGGGAGTAATATCAAGAACAAGGAGATACAGGGACAGAAGCAACATTTACATAAGGAGACAAATAGGGGTTTTTTGGTTTTGGAGTTTTTCTAAAGTTTCAGATATTCAGCTGGGTGTGGTGGCACACGCCTTTAGTCCCCGCACTCGGGAGGCAGAGGCAGGTGGATCTCTGTGAATTCAAGGCCAGCCTGGTCTACATAGTGAGTTCTAGGACAGCTGGGGCTACAGGGAGACCCTGTCTCAAAAAGACAAAAAAAAAAGTTTCAGATACTCAGAGCTAACAAGATCTCTGCCTCTGTGGACCAAGATTAGAAATAAAAAGTTAGAGTACTGCCCCTTAATAGATAGTGCTATTTGAAATGATCACTGTCACAGAAGCACTGACAGCATTCACCACCCACTACAATTTGATTTCATGTTGCACAATACTATAG